AGACTATTTTGTTGGAGGAAATTGGCATTTGATGTCAGCGTCGCAGATCAGGGATCAGAGGAGCTCAGAAGTAACCATCTCCACCCAGCACAGAATTAATTAAAGCCATGTTGCCCTCTCTTTAGTCATTTGGCCGTGAGTGTGTTTAATGACCTGTGTCTGTCGCTGGCTTCAGTCCTAGAAATGTGTTATGGGAACAGGGACACTGTCACTGTGTCAGGCTGTCGCACAGATTATGTGGGGAATGAAGGGTGCTGTGTGCACAGTAGGAGACTGAGAGTAGCAGGCCCTGAGAAATGTTAGCTGCCCCAGATGAAGCATATTTCTAAATAAGACGCTCATGAAGTTCAAGGTGTGACCACTTGGCACAATTAGTGTACTGAAAGAGGGGGCCTGGACTCTAGCTCAGTTGGGAGAGAGCTTGCCTAGCATGCACAGAGTCCTAGGTTCTGTCCTTAGTACTGCATAAATCAGAAGCGTTGGTGCAAACCCTCAACCCCAGCATGCAGAGGCAGAAGGATCAGGAGTGCAAGATCGTTCTTGGCTTTATGAAGTGTTCATCCCAAGCCACACTAGATGACAGGAGACCCTGTCTCAAAAACATAAAAATGAAAACACAAACAGAATAATTTAGTTGAAGACAAAACAAAAACAAAAAACCCTTGCATGTAAACTCAGTATCCAAGGTTCAGAAATATGACTGTAGACCTTGGGGCTCACATAACCCTCTGCCTCATGATTCTTACCACATATTCTGGAGTCTGCCAAAGGACAAGGGCTGGCAGCAGGCCATCCTACTATCCTCCAGAGTACCTAATACATTCTCCCAAAGATATTCTAGTTTAGTGGTCTTTGTGGATGACCTGGTGTCTCCACTGCTTACCCTCAAGTGTAGGTTCTGTGGTTCCCAGGGACACCAGCAAGAAAGTTGAAGAGCCCCATAACCTCGGATTTTGATGAGGCTGTTGCCACCTTTAGTGTGGTTTCTCAAGGGATGTGCCCAGAGGTCCACACAGGAGGCTCCTCAATGCCCACCTCTTCCCAACACAGATGGTGTTGCAGCCCATCTTTGAGGAAATCCACAGTTCAGATCAAAGCCGAATGAAAACGTGAAAGCCATTTCCGTGCCAGCTGAGGCGCCTTAAACAGCAAGTGAAAAACTGAGAAAGGGGGTGGAGATGTGGCTCAGGTGGCTGACGGTTTGTCCAGCACTTACAAAGTCTTGAGTTCAACCCTCAACACTGCAGAAACTGGGCACAGTGGGACACGTGTCCGTGATATTAGGTGGAGGTAGGAGGATCAGAAGTTCAAGGTCATCCTCTGCTGATAGGGAACCTCCTTCAGCCAATAACCTTTAAGAGGCTGGACCAGGTTAGGGCGTGACCTTTTGGGTACCCAGACAGAAACCGCTGCCCGCCCAGGGCTTGTGCTCTCTCTCTGGTTCTCCCTTTACACACCTGAGGTTGGACTTCTTGTTCCTGTTCCGTGCATTTGCCCCTCATAATAAAGAAGTACAATTGGAATCTTTCGGCGTTAGCTTGGGATTCTTTGGCTCGCGTCCTCACCCCCCTTTTCAGTAGCACTCAGCTACAGAATGAGTTCTAGACTAGCCTGGGCCACAAGAGATTCTGTCTCAAAAATAGATAAATAGGTAAATGAATAAAAAGATAAGGAAAGCAGCCCTAGCCTAGGAAGATAGAGCAAACAGGCAGACGCACAGGACGGTAAGAGCTCGGTACCTTTCAGCTCTTTGTCGTTTGCACTGAACCAGGTCACCTCCTCCTAATTATGACTGAAAACTACTCAAGCATTGAATAATCGCAGCATTTGAAAACTGCTGGGCTTAGGGGCTGCCGCTGCCCTACAAAATCTGCCTGGAGAACTGATCTCTAAGCCAAAGATATTTGACCTCTGCTGTGCCAAGGGCTCCATTTGCGACTTCCCAGAAGCCCAGTGGCTCGGCTTGATATTCGTGGCTATTTGCATAAATCTACATATGCATGGTCTGCAGGTTTGGGCCCTGAGTTGATTATGTCTTCTTATTTGTCTGAAAGTTTGGATTTGGAAGTAAGAATGGAGGGTATAGCTATCCGGGAAAGAAAATAGGTGTGGCCCAGGAGATACCTTTTCGTTCTTACTGAATGTCTTCTCAGGTAAGGATGTGAGCTAAAAGTTCTTAGCAGTAACTTCAGCCAACCCTCTGCCTTCCCTTTCCACAGGGTCAAGGCGGCAGAACCCATGAACTAAGACTCTTTGCTTTACCTTTTTCCTGTTGTTCTTCCTCACCCTCGAGTGCTGAGATCGCAAGCACATCGCACCATGCCCAGTGGTGTGTGTGTGTGTGTGTGTGTGTGTGTGTGTGTGTGTGTGTACATGTATGTGCATGTGCTTATGTCTACAAGACACAGCTGTGCACTGGTGTTCAAGTACACGTGGAGGTCAGAGGACAACCCCAACTGTTGTCCAAGGGGGCTGGCCACCTTGGTTTCTGAGGTATGTTTCCTCACTAACCTGGCAATCATCAAGTAGGCCAACCTGGTTGGCTAATGAAGCAAGGAGCCCTCCTTTCTCTGAGTTCCCAGTGCTGAAAGTTCAGCTTGCTTGGCTTTTTGTTTTATTTTGTTTTTAATGCTTTTTGACGATCCAGCTCAGGTTCCCATGCTTTCCCAGCAAGCAGTTTCCTGACCGGGCCACCTCCCATTCCCCAAGCTTCAATATTCTTAAATACATCTTGTTGCTATAAATAGAATCTTGCTCTAAAACTGAGGACTTGCAAATCAGTCACATGACACGCATCCAATGACCAGAGAGAAATGAAAGAAGCCTTTGGCTTCCAAGGCTCATCCATGACTCAGAAACTTAAGAAGGCTAAACTCTATTCAGACTTAAGTCCCCCTAAGTGTTCCCATGTTTTAGCCCACATCACGCACACACACACACACACACACACAACACACCTCCAGTTGTACGTGTTGGGACAATCTGTCTGATGAGGAGATGACTGGAGAATAGTGCACAAATGTCCCGAAGAGCCCCTGTCTCATCCCTCAGTACCAGGTCTCTGGTAGTGAGCTATTGTTTTATTCTCAGTAACAACTAAGCAGGAATTCTAATAACAGACTTTAAATCCCCTTCTTTTATGTCCAGTTAGAAATGAGCCAGCTACGCCCTGCTTCGAAGAAGAGATATGGCCACATGCCACAGTAGCAGCGGGTCACCAACCTTGTAGATCACTGTCAAATGAACTTTCCATTTCTGTCCTTCGGAATCATGCTTTTTAGTCTCTTTACATCTTTCTCTCCAGATTCTCATTTTTTTTAAACACCTTAATTTGCTTGATTCTTCTCAGAACTATGAGAGCAGATCTTCAGGTTTTTTTTTAAAAGTAATACATTAACAATAAATTTAAAAATATCCTCCTTCTAGGGATGAAGGGTTTGCATGAGAAAGAAAGAATGAGAAAAAGAGAGAGAGAAAGAGACGACTTTAAAATGTTTTTCCCAAAATAAACATTTGTTCCACTTTCCCTGCCAGGAAACCTCATTCCTGCGCTAAGTGCAGCAACAAGGGGGAAGAACGGACTTGACAGCGGTCAGACACTTGTTGCATGGCCAGATTCTGGTTCTGGAAGGCGGGTGTGGGAGCAGGGCTGCTGGCCCCAGCTGGACCTGTGTCTTCTGGAGCCACATCTCCTCTGCTCGCATCTCTGTCTCATTTCCCTGTTTTAAAATGAGATGAGGCCGCCTCCCTTCATCCCCCCTGAGATGACATCTGTATCTGGTGACACGAAATGCCAGAAAAGCGTCTGCTGCTGAGGGGGAGAACAGAATAGCTCAAGTGTCTGCTGGGAAGCCTTTATTTTCTTGAATGGCTCCAAATTAAACAATATTGTTCTTTTCTCCGCATAAAGCCAAGAACATTTTCTGGAAATTCCAACATCTCGATGTTCATGTTACATTTCCCACCCTGCCAAACACACAGAAATGCCACAAAAAAAAAAATCCCCTTTCTGGCTATACTGTCTAGATTTTAGTGTCAAAATTTTGATAAATCAGTATAAAGTTCAATGAAACTGTGGTGTGTGTGTGTGTGTGTGTGTGTGTGTGTGTGTGTGTGTCTGTTTCTCAAACCTCTATCCAACTGGGAATATGAAAGGTTTGCCCAACCTGATGCAGGCACCACATGATCGCCTCCCCTCTCAGCCGTAATCCTCCTACCGTGTGCACCCCCTTCCACACCTCACTTCACCCCCATATCGAGCTCCTTTTTCTTACATCATCTTCATCATCCTCCTCTCTCCTTCCTCCCTTCCATCTTCTTACTTTTTTCCTTTCAGTTGTTTTTATTCATAAAAACGTTGCTGTTCTGGGTCTGGAGAAATAACCAGCTGTCCAGCGTTTGTCATTCTTGCAAAGGACCTGGGTTCATGTCCCAGCATCCACACCCATCCCAGTTCACAACCGCAGTACCAGGAGATCCAAAGCCCTCTCTGCTCAGCAGGCAGACACAGAGTACACATAGGTACGTGCAGGCAAAATGCTCACACACATAAGTCAAATAAATCTTTGACTGGGCAGTGATGGCACACGTCTTTGATCCCAGCACGAAGGAGGCAGATGCGGGTGGATCTCTGTGAGTTCAAAAGGGCCAGCCTGGTCTACAAGGGTTAGCTCCAGGACAGGTTCCAAAACTACAGAGAAACCCTGATTCAAAAAAAAAGAAAAAAGAAAAGAAAAAAATCTTTAAAAAAATAAATAATAAATAATTATTATAATCAATAATAATAATAAAAGAATAATAATAAATAAAAATAAAATAAAACTTTTTTTAAAAAAAAATTGACATTCTAGCATGATTGCGGGAGGGGGGAGAGAGTAATTTTACTCAAGCCAATGAAGCCTGGATTCCCTGAGGAACCCTATCATAGATAACAGGAGGAAGCCTGTATCAGCTTCTGGTACACAAGAACACAAACACACATGCGCACACACACCACCACCTCCACTTTGACTGGTTTATTCATATGAAAACTGTTGAATGGCTTTACCTGGGAGTTCCTGTTTTCTCAACGCCCCCCACCCCCATAACCTGAAGCCCTTTGGGGGATGTGCTTCCAAACCCTTCCAACAACCGTCTCTAACATTTGACAAGGCAAAGCGAAAGGGGGGCAGAGGTAACACAGAAGTTTGGGGGACACAGGAACAAGGCAATCAGAACGCAAAGCTAGTGGGAGCATTTGAAATGATCACCTTTGTCCCTCTTCCATGTCAAGCTGCTGCCACGGCTGCTTCTAACTGAAGCCAGGACGACCAGGGCTGTGGCTGGGTGTTAGTTCGTGGGAAAGCAAGGAGGTGGCTTTCCTGGTGGCGTGTTTATCCTTGCAAAGTGGACTTGACGGCAGTACCGGCATTTATTTCAGAAGACCTTATTGGGAGGTACTGGGAGAGAAAACTGAACTTGAATATCCTCAGAAAAGACCAGGGGAGACGAGACACACTGTAGACCTGTAATAAATAATCCCCAGAACTAAAAGGAAAACCTGCTGTCTTCATTTTCAGTGAACCTGGCAGAGACATTTTTCTCTAGCTCTTGTCTCATTGGCCTTTGATGGGAATTTGTAATACTGGGGATTTCGTACAATTTCAGGTCTGGCAAGACCTGGCTGAATTGATGGAGAAATTGTGCAGAGGGCTTTCTTCAAGCACACCATGGAATTTGCAGTTACTAGGTCAGTCATGCTGGGAGACAGGGTCTGCATGGAACAAACCAGCCCAGGCTTAACCAGCACAACAGCAGAGGTAGGGACAAATTGCTAGGGCACGGGGAGCTCCACGCACTCACAAGTCCACTGCTGTGTGTCCTGTTCTCTCATTCTGTCCCTAATTCATTACTTCAGTAACATCCAGTGAGCGACTGGCGTCTTCCAGCCCCAGGAACTATTCTGTGGCAGCGGATACGAGGCATTTTTCTTTCTTGCATAGCTCAGACTCTGTCTTATCTGGACATTTCTTCCCCCTGTGGGAAAAACAGTAAGAATTTTTCTCAAGGAACGAAAACAATAGATTCCTAACCACCGAGAAAGGTCAGGTGGGGATTGGGAAGTTGATGGTAGCTGAGACACAGACTCCATTTTTATCTCTGGGTGCAGTGCAGATTTAGTGGCCAACCCTGGGTGAATCGGCCAGCTCTGCTTTCCCTCTGAGATTCCTTACTCCATCCCTGAATTCTGGCCAGTTTACAATGCCTTCCACACTCAGAAGGCAAGAGAAGTGTAAGCAGGAAGGTACTTAGAAAATAACTCACAGCAAAAATCCTAGGAAGCCCTTCTCTTCAATGTGGTAAGTTCTTCATTCCGTAACCGTGTAAGTGCTTGGATACACTGACAGCCCTCTTTGGTCCCAGCCTTCCCTAAGGTGGGAATCATCTTTGCTTTCTCCTGGTACAGACCGGGCACCAGAGTGGACACATCACAGCCATCTAAAAGCTTCCGTTTTTCTCACGGACGACTGTGGCGTGAGGGCTCTTGTCAACTGGTTTAAAAACAAAAGAACTGTTGTGATGGGCACAGCTTAGATTTATTTATTAACTAACTCACTCCTGCCATATCCCATTCTGATCTGGAACTTGCTCAGTAGGCCACTTGATCTCGAGCTGGCTCTATAGCCCGGGCTGGTCCAGAACTCACTACGTAGTCCAAGTTTGTCAAGAGCTCTTTGTCACCCTGGCTGACCTCTGCCTTGGGGAGGTCTTTCTGCTGCAGCCTTCAGAGTGCTGTGATTAGAGGCATGGGACAACACGCCTGGCTCATGAATTTCCACATGAATGTATTTCCTATGCAACCACTGAGTATCCAGAGACACTGGCCCTGTCATGAAATGTGTGCTTTGCAGACAGGCAGGCACTGTGCACAGCGGACTTGCCCCCGGTGAAGATCTTCCAGCCTCACACTCCAATCATCAAACTAGAAAGATCTTTGTTTTCTGTTTTGGGGGTTTGCTTTTGTTGGTTTGTTCCTGAGACAGGGTCTCATAGCCCAGTTGACATCCAGCTTGCTTTGTAGGCAAGGCTGGCCATGAACACTTCATCCTCCTGCCTCTACTCATTGTCTTCCTGCATACACTATAGCTCTAATGACGCCAAGCCTCAGACTCAGCCTGTGAGCTGATCAACTAAATTTTCTTTTATCCTGAAGTTCTAGACTGGGGTGACAGGCATGCACCACCACACCCAGCTTAGAAGGACTTTTAGAATGTATTGCTTACCCCAGTTTCTCTAAATGCCTGAAGCCATATGGTAAATAAGTCTCATATCTGAGTCTAAAATGCAGCCCCCTCTGCTTCAAACCATAGCCTACCTGGGTGGAGGCCTAAGAGTGCCCACGCCTTTCCATAACCGCCCGTGTTAATCAAATATTGTGTACCTCGGAAATTCACATCTAGTCTCTGCCTTCTGCAGCTCAGCTGATGCCCTGAAGCAAGGTTTTCATTACCTCGAGTTGTAGTGGAATCTAATCCTTTAATTTGCTTAAGTCCCATGAAGTTCTGAGGCTACACGTGGAAGGGGTAATGACGAACTGAGGCAGGCTGTTGCCCAATCCTTCACAGAGAAACGGCACCATGACTCCAGGCAGCAGCCTGCCAGCTCCGATGCTTCATTAGGAATATCTGTGCCCAGTACAGCTGCAAAGAGGCATTGGGAGGTCAGAACAAGTCCTCCTTTTAAAAGGGAGGTGACTCTCCATGTTTGGGGGAGACTGTGATAAAGTCTGTTCTTCCTTTTGGATTATAATACAAATTGATGTTCTTCAGGGCACTTGGGACACTGTGCCTTCCAAGGGTTCCTTGACCACAAAATAGAGAACCTGCCTAACTCTCATAGCTACCCACAGAGCCGGGAATTGTCACTTCAAAGTGACAGAGTCTCATGCTAAAATAAATAAAGGAGAGAACACCATGAGAAGTGGGGAAGAGGAAGCTCTCTGACTTGTTTCTTTATCCCAGAAGGGTCTAGGAACATCTCCCGCAGACTCGGGACACATTTGTAGGTGACCTCCCTTGCTTACTTAGGGAAGTCCCAGCCTGAATGGAATCAACAAAGCCTTAAAACCAGGCGATGCACATGCGTAACCCTGGCGCTCAGGAGGTAGAGGCAGGGCGGTCCAGAAATTAAAATTAGCCTTGGCTGTATAGTGAGTTTGAGGCTGAGTGGGAACACGAGGCCCTATCTCAGAAGAGCTGCCCAGCTCTGCACTGTCTTGCCTGAAGTGCACAAAACACCACAACGCGGGTCTAGAGTACCCTGTCATCCTTCCAGCCAGCACATCCCCAAATTGTGGCTGACAGTTTTGATTATTGTCAAATAAAGCAGTCAGAGGTCAATCCCGTGGCTGAGTTGACTGGAAACACTTGGCTGAGAGGCGCCCCTCCAGAGCAAGGCCTTCCCATGAGTCTCCCAGAAGGCAGCCAGCTCAGAGACTTACAGCTCCATTTGACTGAGGACCACACTCACGGGATTGCCATCAGCAGTGATCTAATCCCAGTCTCTTTATTTTATAGATGCAGAAACCAAGTCCCAGGAAATTAAAGTCATTTGCCAAGGACGGTTTGGTTGCAGAGATGTCTTTATCTGTATCTGAAATTAATCTTTCTGTTTATTTTTGCTTTCATAGAGAGACAATAAAATTCACATAATAATGATATCATTTTGTCTGTTTTCCAAGCAAGCTTACACACACCAAAAAAATCACAACTAACTTTTGGGAATTAAAAACATTAATAATAATGAAACTATTTCCCTATAAAAGTGGGAGTATAGTTATTTCCTAAGTCCTATTAGGAAACTTATTACCGCTTCTTTTTCTCACTAGAATTCCCCAAACAAATTTCTTTGATATTTTACTCATTATTTTTATAATTAGGCATAAAGTGATTCAGACTTTATCCATAATTTAGCAGATTCTTGTGGTTATTTCCAAATAAGATTAGTATTTCTGCACATTACAGATAAGCAGTCAGCCACATGTGACATAAAACCCTTCTTCAAATAATTAGGTTTGCAACGTGACGTGTGCAATTCCTCACTGTTAGAAAATAATAAAACTCACAAGAAACAGAAAACTCTGCTGTCAGTGAACAAAAGCCAAAGGAGTGCACCACTGACATCATGGGGTCCCCATCAGGGAGCAGCCCCCCTCTGACACTACCTTAACCTGTCAGCAGAGAGTGGCCAGTGAAATTCAAATAACAAAAATAAGCATACAAAAAAGCCCACTCAGTTAGGCTCTGAATCCAAGATGTTATCTTTCAAGGAGTTCTCATTTGAAGTTCTATGCACCGTGCCCAGGCACAGCTGAACAAGCCTAACATTGACCAGAAGGCAGAATACAAGCCTAGAACAAAGCCACCTACTCTGCTGGGACTTCCTCTTGGCTACAGGAAGTGACGATGCTACAGGATGTGATGAAACAGGGGGTGACGGTTGTTACTCATTTCTATGCACGTGGGCCACCTTTCCAGTGACCCAATACAGAGGAGCAAGGGACTACTGTTATGATTGTTTTGTCTCTTTAAGAGACAAGCCACGCCCACTCCCTTCCTGCCTGCAGCCTCAGACCCCAACCTTCCCTCTTCCTGTCCCCCCTCTCTTTCTCTTTCCTTCCTTCTCTTTCTCTCTTTCCTTCCTTCCTTCTCTCTCTCTCTCTCTCTCTCTCTCTCTCTCTCTCTCTCTCTCTCCTTCTCTCACTCTCTCTCTCTCCCCCTGCTCCCCTTTTTCCTTCCCCTCCATAACCCATCTAATAAATGTCTAACTTTATTCTATGTGGTATGTTTATCTGTCTCTCGCCCACCCACCGCAGTCACATGAAGCCTGCCTTGTGGTTTCGTGCGCGCTGTCCCTGCTTGGGACCCTGGCAGCTTGCAGCAAACCCATCTGCATGGTGTGACTATCTGTCTGCCCCTTGCCACCCGCAGTCCACATGGCTAGCCGCCGGGGACGCCCAGGAGACTAGCCACTTTGGTTTGTGGGGACCAGCAGCAAATCCATAACATTTGGTATGGGAATGTAATGATTGTTCTGTCTCTTTAAGAGACAAGCCACACCCACTCCCTCCCCCATCCACTGAGTCAGGCTGATCTTCAGCTTCTGGCCTGAGCCTCTTCGTTTCTGCCTCCCTCCCCACTCCTCCGCTCCCCCCCCCCCCACTTTTCTGTCTGTCTCTCTTCTCTTTTCTCTCTCTCTTTTTTTCTCTCTCTCTCTGCTCTTCCCCCCTTCTCCCTTCCTCCTCCATAAATATCCAACCTCACTCTGCATGGCGTGCCTATCCATGTCTCTGTCTCTTGCCCATCCCCCATGTGTCTCTCTGACTGAGACTGGCTGCTCTCAGGGCCCGCTGCCTGCCGCCATATGGCCCGCTGTCACCTCTTGGGGACCTCGGCATTTCTGCTGCCGAGGATCCTCCAGTATTTTTAATTTTTCCATAACAACTACCTTCTAACCCTAAAGAGCTATGGATATCCAGGGAACGTGGAAGGTTTTACTGTTCCCCAGGAAGTTGTACTGTTACTGGCTACGTGAGGAATAACCACATCCTAAGATAAAGGAGAAGTCCTTACATTCCAAACACTTGACAGTAGCATTCTGATGATGAAGAGCCATTATTAGGTCTCCAAGAGCATTCTGAGTGGCTCTTTGTTCAGAGATGTTTGAAAGAAAAAGAGCAGGAAAACAGGACTCTAAAATCAGAACTGGGGCTCTGAGGCACCAAAGAGGGGAAGCCGTGTAACTCAGTCTGCTGAGCACTGCCTCCAGAGTTCCTACCCAGAGTCAAGGCCATCTTTCCGAAGAGCTGCAGCAGCGCAGTAAGGGTTGTGGTGGTGTAATTGCCCTGTTTAGGTCGTTACCAAATTTCCAAATGAATGGAAGGCCCAACCTAGGACTTCTACTTTCTGTCCCATGAAGACCCTGGGTATGGGGTGTTTTGCACATCTGTGGTAAATGCTTGTCAATGGCATGGTCCTTACCCTGGAGCCTGTATGTCTAGCTTCCCTCTTCTTTCCCTGGGCTTTCTACACTGTGGTCTTCAGACTTAGCATTCATCTGATGTTCTTTCAGGCCTTTCTGCTACTTCAGATACTACCTTCGCAAGATTTCTAAGTGCTAAAGACTCTTCAAAAAAAAAAAAAAAACACTTAGGAAGGAGATTAAGTAAGAATCCTAAGTATGCTGCCAGCCCTGGGACACTTGCCTAGTGACCTAATTTCATGGGAATTTGCCAGGCCTGCTCTGTGGAAGAATTCCAAGCCTATCCCATCAGTCCCATGGTTTATTCGGCTGACAGTGCACAGAGCCAGGCTGGTCACATTGCTATGACCTTCAGAGATGTCTTTAATGGTGCTCTAGTCACTACATAAATGGTAGGAAATGAAGGTGCAGTCATTTGCATGGCTCATAAAAATATGTTCAATTCAAAGCTCTTACATCAAATGTTATAGCGTGTGTATGTGTGTGTGAAAGTTGTACATATGTGTTCAGATGTACATGTGTATTTGTTTGCATACACGTGGAGGCCTGAGGTCATCCTTGGATTTCCTCTGGTGCTATTAACCTTAGTTTTTGAGATAAGGTCTTTCACTGGCCTGGAACACACCAAATAGGCTAGGCTGCCTGGCCAGCAGGGCACAGGAATCTACCTTGTCACTGCCTCCTCAGCTCCAGGATGCCTCCGCATCCAACAATTTGACATGGGTTCTAGATCAAATTCAGGTCCTAGTATTGTAGGACAAGCTCTTTACTGAGGGTCATCTCCCCAGACCTGAAAATGATATGTCTTACACTGAACTGAGATATGCACCCTTTTCTTGTTATTCTAGACTTCTGTCACTAGCATGTTGAATAATTCCAGAAGCTTCTGTGAACGAATTATCTAAAATATGTTATCAACACCTGTTCCATGGAAAATAAATTCCTTATTTCCCAAAATGCCTCTTTGTGTTAACTGTAGCTGGAATCTTCTTTGGGCCATCAACCAGTTCCCCAAAAAAAAAAGACGTGAAGATAATTATTAATTGTGAATGCTTGGCCTTAGATTAGACTAGCTCTTTTAACTTAATTTAACCTGTTTCTATTCATCATGTTTTGTGTTTGGGCTTTTTACCTTTTTTTCATTCTGTATGTTCTAGTTTCCTGCTTCCTCCATGTCTGTCTGTCTGGACTCTGGCATCTCCTTTTCTTTCTTTCTCCTGTCTAAATTCCTCCTCCTCCTTACTCTCCCTGCCTGGAAGTTCCACCAATAACTCCTCCCTTGCTATTTTCATTCATGTTCTTTTTTATTAGATCAATCAGGTACCTTCAGCAGACAAGATAAAGCAGCAACACATCTTTACATAACTAAATAAATGCAATACATCTTCACATAGTTAAACAAATATTCTGCAACATAAACAAATGTATCACCTCTTTACATAGTTAAACAAACATAGCAATACCAAGGGAGGAGTTATTGGTGGAATTTCCAGGCAGGGAGCTGGCTGATGGCCCAAAGAAAATAGTTAAACAAATACTGCACAGTGTGGAGCTCCTTTTCACGGCTCCGTCTTTCTAAAGCCAGAGCTGAAGTTATTTTGACATCACTGTCGATTGGACATGGTTATATATTGATCCAACACTCTCTTCAGAAAAGCAGTAAGAAAACACTGTGTGTTGGTCTTTCAGAACTGCAGTTTCTGTTTATACCCACAGGCTTACGTGTACCTGGTTCTCTTCCCCCACCTAGAAATGCTCCAACAGCCTCTGGCAAAAAACAATGAGTTTAAGACTTTATAACCTTATACACCCTGTTCTGGGCACTAACGAAAGGAAAGATATATTATTATCTCATGTTGACTTTTTTCCTTGCCAGGGGTTGGGGTAGGAGCTGGAGAGATGCTTAGTTGGTAAAAACTCCTGGTATACCATCATGGTTACCTAATTTGGAACCCTAGCAACCACATAGAAACTGGGCATCATCATTGTGTGCACCTATGTACCTATAATCATAGAGCTGGGAGTAGGGGTGGGACAGAGATAGATTGATCCCTACAACTTGCTGGCAAGACAGACTAGGCAATTGGTTGCTCAAAAAATGAGAGCAATAGAAAGAAAGAGCTGATATTAACCTCTGGCCTTCACACATCTGCACACACACATGCATATATCTGTCCTTACATGGGCAAAATACAAATATGAAGTACTCGTGCATGTACTTCATGCAAATAATTACACAGAAATGTTAAGATAAAAGAAGCATTTTAAACTCTTATGTGTTTATGTTTGAAGGGGAGGGGTTGTGTGAAGACCAGAGATGGTCGTTGGGTGTCTTCCTCAATTTGCTGTCCATCTTAGTTTTTTAGATAAGGTCTCTTCCTGGACTGGTCCCAGGGATCTGCAGGTTTCTACCTTCCCAGCAATGGAGTTATAGAGACGTTTTATTATGTCTAGGTTTTTGACGTGGGTTCTAGGGACTCCAGCTCCAGTTCTCATGCTGGGAGACTGAGTTTCTCTCAGCCCGTGAACATTTATATACCACTCAATGCACAATATAGCGCACAAATTCTGAAATATCCCATCCTTACTTGAGACAAATGAGTTTTTGTTATCCAAAAATTAGCTCAAGTCTTATTTACAAAATAAAGTAGAAACCTTTTCTCATTGCACCAAGAGTAGATGTATCAAATCTCCTGACGAAGCCCTTTAGAAAAAGCTTTAATGAAGTTTATTCCATATAAGTAGACAGACAGACAGACAGACAGACAAACAGATGATAGAGATATACCATGTGTATCTATGGTGCTCATGTACCACCCTCTCACTTTTCCATCCCCTCCTCTGTCCCTCCTGTTTCCAAGCCACAGATGTCCAACGACCTTTTAAATAATTAGGAGATTTTAATCAGAATGTTTGGTTGATACTGTCAGAGTCCCCACAGGCACCCCAACACTTTCAAGGTGAGGGGAATGGCACAGATGACTTCAGAGGGTAAGTTCTGTGCTCACCGCAGGTAACCTTCAACTCATCCGGGCCCTGTGAGCATCCAGAGTGCACTGTGATTGAGATGGGCTCCTTGGCATCGGTGACTGAGTCTGGAAGTCAGACACTGAATGGAGGCTAAGAACAGGAGTGAGTCCAACTTGGAAGGAGACAGGGATGATTTACAAAATTAAATTTTTGGCTCTTTGATCTTTCCCAAGCTGGCTCCAAGTGCACTGAGTCATCTCTGATTTTTATATTGAAAGTCGGGATGCAAGGGACCTTCAGAAACAGGACTAAGAAGTTGATGATGACGTAACTTCAAAATGAAAACATATCAAAAGCCTTAAAACTACAAATTCTTATAGCATGTTGCTTTATGACCACAAAGTCACCCTCAACAAATACAGCAAGCAAGGCAAAGACAATCACCAAAGTGTTGTTCATAATAACAAAATTTGGAAGCAGATATTCAACACCAGGAATATGGCAAAACAATGGAGTGCACAGTAGGTACAAAAATACTCACTGTGAGGGGGCCATATTTACTTGAAGTAAGATATAAAAGGGGGAAGGTTATGGAACAGCTTACGTATATTCTGTATTCATCTATAATTTTTGTTTTTGATGAGCATGCGTTAGTGCCACATATTAGTGTTGGGGTCAGAGTGATATTTCCATGTGATTAACTTATTTAATTATTCAGCTGCTCCTTCCCACCACTGCCCTTCCACACTTCCTGTAATCCCTGCTCTGCGTTCAGGTGGATGTTTTCACCTTTGACCTTACATATGGCTGAGTGTGTGGTACTTGCCTGTATGCCAAGCTTATTTCACTTGACATAGTAATCTCTGCATTTGCTATAAATGCAAGTGTTTCTCTTTTTTCATAGCTAAGTAATATTCCACTGTGTCTGTATGCCATATATTGTGTATTCATCCATCTGTTTCTAGGCACTTTGACTGATTCTGTATCTTGACTACTGTCCAAGGAACACCTAAATGTGCAGCTCTCTTTGGGGTGCAAGTTTCATTTTCTTTGGGCATATACTCAGGAGTTGGGTGACTGGATGCCAAGATGGGTCTGTTTTCATTCATTTCTAGCACCTCAGAACAGTTCTTGTAATGACTCTACTAACTTACATCCTCATTGGTTGTTTATGGTGGCTATGCTAATTAGGGTTTCTATTACTGTGAAACGATATCATGACCATGGCAACTCTTATAAAGCAAAACATTTAATTGGGGCTAGCTTAGAGTTTTAGGGGTTTAATCCATTATCACCACAGTGGGACATGGTAGCATTCAGGCAGACATAGTGCTAGAGAAGGAGCCGAGGGTTTTATGTCTCGATTCATAGGCAACAGGAAGTGAACTGTGTTCCACACCATCTATAACAGTCTCGAACTTATTTAAAAGTCTGAAGTTCGATGTCGCTTCTGAGATTCGTGCAATATCTTTACTGTAACCTCCTGTAAAATCAAAATAAAAAATCATCTCACATACTGCCAACATATAATGGCATAGGATATACATTACCATTCCAAAATGAAGGCTAGTAAGGAAACACTGG